GAGAGAGAGAGAGAACTTGGATTGTCGTTCATTCAGGAGTGGAAATCAAAGTCTCGGTTGTGCCCGTTAACTGAAAAAGAAAACCAGACTGAAATTCCGAACATTTGATTGATTTTGTATTCTTCAAAGCATATGGGGCTAATATTATTTTTTTAAAACTATTTGGCTATATTTTCCAGAATTAATGCTGATTTTCCTTAGACTGTTCATCTTTTTTGTCCTAACAATTAAGCTCCTTTTGATTGGTGGTTTGCTATTCACTTGCAGGAGTTGGATTCACCAATTGGGCATTTGAGCATGATGAAAATGCAGCCAAAAGCTTCAAACTCAATCATCCTAACACTGAGGTTTTCTCTGTTAATTGTGCTGTGATGCTGAGGTGCTAAGCTGAAACCCATAATTCCTTTTTGCTTTATCCTTTTTATGTGAAAAAGCCACACATGTGGCCCTCCCTGATGCTATTACCTCATTCTCTTTAGACGTTTCATATAAGTCAGTTGTTAAAACCGACAATGAACAAAAGCATGGACCAAACGTGGACCATTATGATCCATGTAGTGAGGCAGTTCAATGTGCTTATAAATAGGGTGTGCGTGCAAGCCTTAAGGAGAGTTAGAAATATGTTGTTATATGAGTTAGAAATAGAGGAGGGGTTGGATGAGTGTTAAAACATGTTGTAATAATAAAATTCGGTGCTTTTTCCTCTTCCTTGTTGTGCCGGATTATACATTTGGTATCAGAGCTTTCGCAAAACTCCACAATTGGTATCAGAGCAGGTTCGGTCAGGGGCCATTGTAAGTGAGTAGTTAGATGTTGTGAAGCCGATCAGCAGGGGCTGAGCTTCTAGGTGTTGAGATCGAAGTGCGATCACACCAATCACAATGGCAGACCTAGCGAATGGATCTGGAGGAATCGAGAAACTAAACCACTTCCAGGTGTTGAGATCGAAGTGCGATCACACCAATCATGATGGCAGGCCTAGCGAATGCATCTGGAGGCATCGAGAAACTAAATCACTTCTAGGTGTTGAGATCGAGGTGCGATCACACCAATCACGATGGCAAACCTAGCGAATGCATCTAGAGGCATCGAGAAACTAAACCACCACAATTACGATGATTGACGTTCGTGCATAAAATCGTACCTGTAAAGATAGGACCTCTGGGAGGTCGGCGGCAGCAACGAAACCATACCACCCACGAGAGAGAATACTGAGGCACTACCACGATGGTGCATCAAGGCCGGGAAGGCCATGTTCGTGTTAAAAATAACAGTTCAAAATGAACTCTTGGACCACATTCGAGAAGCCACCGTACCTAAGGAAGCCTGGGATGTGTTAGCAATACTATTTTTCAAGACGAATGATGCTCGATTGTAGTTCTTGAAAAACGAGCTTGGATCGATGTCACAAGGGACTATGACGATCAGTCAGTACTTCACTAAGGTGAAATCTCTGTGCCATGAGATTTCAAAACTTGATCTGAAATCTCAGATTAGTGAGACTAGAATGAGAAGAATCATTATTAGAGGACTAAGACCCGAATACAATGGGTTCATGACGGCCATCAAGGGGTGGCAGACACAACCGTCTCTTCTAGAGTTAGAAAGTTTGCTGGAGAATCAGGATACGTTGGCCAAACAGATGGCCGGTATATTTGTGAAGGTTGAAGAGGAGGCTCTCTTCGCACGAAAGAAGGCAGGAGAGACAGTCGAGACCAATCAAAGGAGAGAGGGCTTCCAACCAGGGGGAGTTAGATGACGCAATACCGGCGTAAATTGGCGACCAAGGAAACCCCGATGAGACATCGAGTGCTACAATTGTGGCAAAAAGAGCCACTCTTCTTAGGAGTGCTGTTCAAAGAAAAAGAATTCAGCTGAAGGAAATATGGTGACTACAACAAGTCACCAAGACGAGATCGAAGAAGATTGGAATGCACATGCAACCTTCGTAGTAACTAAAGAAACAGAACTATCGAGTTCGGAACTACTATCGGCCAATCAATGCAACGATAAGGCGACAAGAGGAACCTGAGGAATCCAAGGAAACCCTGATGAGACATCGAGTGCTACAATTGTGGCAAAAAGAGCCACTTTGCTTAGGAGTGCGGGTCAAAGAAAAAGAAGTCAGCTGAAGAAAATATGGTGACTACAACATGTCACCAAGACGAGATCGAAGAAGATTGGAATGCACATGCACCCTTCGTAGTAACTAAAGAAACAGAACTATTGAGTTCGGAACTAGCCGACTATCGGTCAATCGATGCAAGGATAAGGTGACCAAAGGAACCTGAGGAGCTCGCATGCAGCACAGTCTCCAGCTCTGAAGACATCAACTACAATCAAGACTGGATTGTAGATTCAGGATGCTCAAATCATATGACTGGAGACAATGGCAAGTTCCTCAATTTGACTGAGTACAAAGGAGGCAAAATCATGGTTACTGCTAATAATACAAAGCTACCAATCACCCATGTCAGAAAAGCTATCTGCATGCCTCAATTAAGTATAAGAGAGGCCCAGTTACAGGATGTATACCATGTGCCAGGAATGAAAAAGAATTTGTTGTCAGTATCACAACTAATAGAAATCAGCGACTTCTTCGTGTTTGGTCCAGATGAGATCAAAGCGTATCGAAGCAAGAAGTTTCCAGACCTGCTGATTATGGAGGGCTGACAACTGGACTCCATCTACATAATGTCAGCAGAGTCATCTTATGAACAAAAGGCCCGAAGAATCGACTGCTGATCTCTAGCATGCTCGTTTAGGGCATGTGGTCATCAACAGGCTGAAGAATATGATGGACCGATCAATGGTGAGGGGACTTCCTCAGCTATAAGTCCAAACTAATGCTGTGTATGGGCTGTCAATTTGGCAAGGCTCATCGAAAACCATACACTAAATCAAACTACCAATCTAAAAGGCCGTTGAAGATTAATCACTCAGATGTATTTGGCCCAGTAAAGCAACACTTGGTCAGAGGCATGAGGTACATGCTTACTTTCATCGATGACTATTCAAGGTACCTAATGAAGGAAAAGTCAGAGGTCTTTGAAAAGTTCAGAATTCCGAACAAAGATTATGGGGGAGATTAGCCAGAAGATTCGATGTCTATACACTGACAATGGAGGAGAGTACACATCGACGAAATTCTCAGCCTACCTAAAGAAGATTGGCATTCGACGCCAGCTAACCTGTCCCCACACGCTATAGCAGAATGGAGTAGCCAAACGGAAGAATCGACATCTAGCTGAAACATGCAGAAGTATGTTCCATGCTAAAAATGTGCCCGGTAGATTTTCGGGAGAGTGTATGAAGACAATGGGGGCACATCATCAATCGACTACCTCAACCAAATTTGGGATTCATCACACCATACGAGAGACTCTGGAAGGTTAAACCAACTCTAAGTTATTTTAAAGTATTTGGTTCTACATGTTAAGTGCTTGTTCCAAAAAGGAAAGAATTGAGGTATTGTGACCCTACAACCAACCGATGCTACATGTCACGGGATGTGGTATTCGATGAAGCATCATCTTGGTGGATTCCAGAAACTACCAAAGTCTCTAATATTGGAGACGAATAAGGTCAAGGAGACTCTAGATGGAGAGCATGAGGAACAAAACCAGGAAAATGAGATGCACCATAGCTCACCAGTCACACCAAGAAGATCTTCCAACCCATGGAGAGATGGTGTCTACCAGAGAAGGACCCCTAAAGAGACTCGACCAAGTCAACTAGAAGACATCACTAAAGAGCCTCAATTATGACGTTCAACCAGAGTAAGAAGAGAAAATCCCAAATATGTGGATACTGCATTAGCCTAGGTAGATGATATACAAGAACTAGTCTCATACGAAGAAGCCTGTCAAAGTGAAGAATGGAAAAAAGCTATGGAGGAAGAAATCTTTGCACTAGAGAAGAACCAGACATGGGATCTAGTTCCTAAGCTGAAGGAGGTTAAGCCCATCTCTTGTCGATGGGTATACAAAGTAAAGACTCTTGTCGATGGGTATACAAAGTAAAGATATAAGGGCAGACTAGTCGCTCATGGTTTTTCACAATAATATGGGATTGACTATGAGGAAAATTTTAGTCCTGTGGCTAAAATCACGACAGTACATGTACTACTTGCATTGACAGCCAGCAAATCATGGAAATTATGGCAAATGGATGTGAAGAATGCTTTTCTTCATGGAGAGGTTGATCGAGATATATATATGGAGCAACCGAAAGGTTTTGAAAACGAGGATAGACCAAACTATGTTTGCAATAAAGAAGGCCTTATATGGACTAAAGCAGACACTAAGGGCTTGGTATGGCATGATTGTTGAGTTCCTATTGCAAAATGGATAATCAGTCACACCTGCAGACTCAAGCTTATTTGTAAAAGTCAGAGACGGCCAACTATCCATTATACTTGTCTATGTTGATGATCTGATTATTGCAGGGGACGACACTGAGGAAATCTACTGCACAAAGAAGAATATGTCAGTCAGATTTTAGATGAAGGAGACTAGAGAGGTCAGACATTTTTTGGGTCTCGAAATTGATAAAGTCAAAGAAGGACTCTTCTTGTGTCAGCAGAAGTACACTAGAGACCTATTACAAAAGTACGGAATGGTAGACTGCAAAATAATCTCAACACCAATGGAGACAAACGTGAGACTAAGCGTAGATGAAGGAGAAGATCTCAAGGACCCAGCCATGTACAGACAGATTGTCGGTAGCTTAATCTATCTATAACATTGACTAGGCATGATATTTCACATGCTGTTGGAGTAGTCAGTCTATTCATCCAGAATCCAATGAATTCTCTTTTACAGGCCGTTCGCAGAATCCTGCGATACATCAAAGGTTCGGCTGACTACAGATTGTTATATAAGAAGGAAAAGTGCGAGTTGACCGGATATTGTGATGCTGATTTTGCTGGTGACCAAACGACTCGTCGATCTACCATTGGATATTCTTTTAGTTTCGGATCAGCAACAGTCTCTTGGTATAGTAAGAGACAACCCACGGATCAGCAACAGTCTCTTGGTATAGTAAGAGACAACCCACTGTTTCCTTATCGACCACCGAAGCGGAATATAGATCTGCAGCAATGGCTGCACATGAATTCACATGGCTATCACTTATGTTGGAGAACTTGCATCAGCAAGTTGAGAAACCAGTGTCACTTTTCTGTGACAACCTATCAGCCATTCGACTGGCTGAGAACGCTGTCTTCCATGCAAGGACAAAACACATTGAAGTGCATCATCATTACATACGAGAAAAGGTCCTAAATTAAGAGCTCTCACTGATATCAATAAGGACAGAAGAACAAATTGCTGATATATTTATAAAAGGGCTTAATCTTACCAAATTTGCTAAACTCAAAGAAAGACTCGGCATAATCAGAAGATCAGTTGTAAAGAAGAGCCAGTGTTGAGGGGGGGAATTGTGAAAAAGCAACACATGGCCCTCCCTATGCTATTACCTCATTCTCTCTAGAGGTTTCATACAAGTCGGTTGTTAAAACCGACAATGAACAAAAGCATGGGCCAAACGTGGACTATTGTGCTCCATGTAGTGAGGCGGTGAGGTGGTTCAATGTGCTTATAAATATGGTGTACGTGCAAGCCTTAAGGAGAGTTAGAAATATGTTGTTATATGAGTTAGAAATAGAGGAGGGGTTGGATGAGTGTTAAAAATATGTTGTAATACTATTTCTTTTAATAATAAAAGTCGGTGCTTCTTTCTCTTCATTGTTGTGCCGGATTCTACAATTGGTACCAGAGCTTCCACAAAACTCTACATTTTATTTTTTTCTCAGTAAGAAAAGACTATTTCTAAGATGGGCACCAACAATTCTTTTGATTTTTTATGCAGAAAAAATGTGGTCGTATACTTACTGTAACAATTTATATGGCAGGGCCATTTAACCGCATAGCACTTGTTTTTTCTCAGATAATTCCAAGAATTAACACCATGACCTATGTGGTGTTGGATTAAGGACTTGTTTCTGAAATGAAAAACACATTTGGTTAAATATGCCATATATATACAAATTACGAAAGTTAATGGCTTCCATGACCAGATTAAGAGCAAAAAATAAAGCTAGCTCCTTAAAAAATCAAGTATTTAGATCAAAGAAAAAGGTTGGAGGAACTTTAATCATTCAGTCAGCTTGAGCTACACTCATCTAATACAAATTCAACTCTATTGTTGCTCTCACTTTTCCAGCCTATATTGAGTTTTATCTGTAATTTTGAGCATGCCTAGAGATACTTAAGCTTAGTCTTTTCACTAGAGAACCATAAGATTATGGGTGGGTGGGTGTGTGTGTTTGTGTGGATGCACACAACATATAACATATGATCCTTCAGAATGTGGAGATCATCTAAAACGGTAATACCGGACATAGGCTTTTTATCTCATAAAAAACCAAGCAAGGTACCATCCAACATGCATAATTAAAGTTGTAAATCTTTATAAGTGTGGAAATAATCTCAATCACATTGGAGTCACACAGCAAAAAGAAAAATCAGAAAAAGAAGAAGAAGAAGCTTTTACCTATATGTGCAAAAACATGCCTCGTACCAGTCTAGTTGCTTGTAAACTCTGAAATTTTGCCTGATTTAGTAATCTTTCTCATTGATGGTTTTCTCTACAGAAATCTAATGGAGATGAGTGGAAGTATTCATTATTGCATCTCTGACACTAAATCTGTTTCACTGGGTATGAAACTAAGCAAGGACCAAGAGAAGAAGCTGCCATTTTGGGGTGAAGTACAGTTAATCATTGGGAGCCTTCCCGAGGTTTGAAATTTTCCCATTTTGTAATATGTACCGATAAAAACTAAGGAAAACTTTGAAAGAATTACTCTTCCAATACTTAATGTGGTTCTCCATTTTATCGTTTCTTTTTCCAGAATTCAGTAAGCTTTCGTAAGAGCTTTCTATGTTTTTTGAGTTTGTTTTGGATTCCAGCTTCTTCTTCTTTTTTCCTTGGGAAGGGGTTTAGATTCACAAATAACACATGCATTTCTATGAAAGGGCCTTTGAATAGAATCGATCATGTCCTATTCCTTGTGTTCGCAGGTGACAGATGGAAAGGACTTGATTAACGAGCATGAATGGAATAGGGCCACAACGCTTCTATCCTATGTTGATTTTTTGCGACCCAATTTCTTTTTGCTTGCGAGTGACAAGAAATTGGTGACTCTCCCCACTAATCAGATCTTTCGTTTAACTTTTAAGACACTCTTGCAACTGGGTTATCAGGTAAGGAATTAGAAAATGTAGCTACCCATTTTAAGACCTCCTATAGATTCGTTTGGTTGCATTTTGCTCTCTCCTGGTTTAATTGGTCTATGGTTTCAGGTGAGGTATGGTATCATAGAAGCCGGATGTCATGGTGTTCCCCAAGCTGGAAGGAAGTCTTTTATAGTTGCAGCTTATTATGATGAAATCTTACCTGAATGGCCGGAGCCAATGCATGTTTCCTTGTGCACTAATTGTGATATTGGTGCCCCATTTCGCTCAATAACTATCAAGGACTCCATTGGTGATCTAATGCTTTGTCTGGATTGGGATCTCGAAGAAGGCTTTTTATATGTGCGTAGTCTCTTACCTTGACTTATGTTCTCAAGTAGCATCACTGGCATGAAATGGCATTTCATCGTTTACATATGTGCTCCTCAATCTAAGTACATGTGTGTAATGACATTTCGCTTGTGTTATACAGTTTAAAAATCAACCTGTTTCATGGTTCCAAAGCATCATTCGGGGAAACCAGAAGGTCTTGAAAGATCATGTAGAATTGAATTCAAAATGGGTTGATTTGAATTGGGTGAGAAACAAATTATTCAAAGAGGATTTGGATCTTAATTTGAATTTGGTGAGAAAGCAATTATTCAAAGAGGAACACGAGGTACGTAGCGCATCACTAATGTATGCTTATATGTTCAGAATTATGGATTCAAACATGTATAATCTGTGAAAGGTATGCATGAATATTGTATGTCTGACATTATTGTCGGCTCACTGCTAGCCGTTAGATTAGGATCATACATATAAATGTTCTAGACACTTAAATTATATACCTGTGGAAGCATAGAAAACTCACTTTTTTTTTATGGGAAACCTTTTTATATACTTTATCTTATTTGGGGACCCACAATCATCTGAATAAATATAAGATGACTAGGAGAACTAATAACAATGCCATAGGCCGGTACCAGCTATGTTGATCAGGCCATATTTGATGCCATTGATGTCATATCGCTCTCAACTATCTGATCATAATCGAATGGCTGGATGTCTATAGACCCATATAAGCTATATGTGTCGTTTAGACACGTACACAGCTTGCTCATTATATATTTAAGCAATAGCTCATTATATATTTAAGCAATAGAAGAAGTTGTCTATATCAAAATTACAGGGTCTTGTAGCACTCAAACATGACGACCTTGACAACCTTTCATATGCATGGTATCTTACATAGAATACATACACACATAACATAGCTGCATGTAGAAGAAATTAGAGGAATAGAATACGATCCAATATGTCAGACAAGTCGCAGTATATGTCAACCCAAGCTGCGCTTCCTCTCAAAGAATCCGAAAAGGTATTTTTGGAGCACCAGTGGGCATGAAAAAAAAAAGGAGTTAAGCACTATAATTTGACTTTGATGCGGAAATGTAAGAGTGGGTTTATTCATCTTCATGATATTGTCGTTTATCATATTTTATTCATAGATAGATATAATGATTGATTGAAGGAGGGAGAGAGAGAGAGAGAGAGAGAGAGAGAGAGAGAGAGAATTACTTAATCTCTTAACATTGTTGCTCCTTGGCTTCTTCTGTAGAATTTGTAATTATGTTGTTGTGTATGTGTGTGAGCGTCACTTCTTGGCTTCCTTTGTAGAATTTGTAGTATTATGTTTTGTGTGTGTATGTGTGCTTGAGAGAGAGAGACCTCTGTGTTCTGATGTCAAGAGATGGTTGATTTCAGAAAATACAGGGGCTCTTTGGAAAGTTGGATTGGCTAGGTAAGTTCCCAAGCGCTAGTCCTCATCCCAAGCCCATTGGAAAGCTGGGAACTTGGTCTCATCCAGGCCATAACAGACCTCTCACTGTACGTGAATGCGCACGTGCTCAAGTAAGTCTCTCTCTCTCTCTCCCTCCCCCCACCCGCTCCCCCCCTCCCTATATATCTCTCTAACATGCCTCACTATAAAACACATTATCAATTATAGAATCAATGTTCTAAAACTCATTGATCTGGATCTAGAATCATGGATCCGAATTAGAAATTGATAGGGATAGAACCGATTTCGGGAAGGTATCAGCACTAACCTAGTTCCACCTGAAACCCCCCCTTACATATATTTTTTCTTGTTTCCTTTAAAACCCACGCCTTTTACCCCAAGATAAACTCCTATCTTAATGTTTTCCTTTTTGTTTTGTATATATTTTTAATGGCAGATTGCTGATTCGGACCAATACGGATCATCAATCCTGCAATATAACATGGATATTGAGTGGACAATCTACCCAACCCAACCCAACCCATCCTGGTTTTGAATCACTGATTGTTCCGCTCTAAGATCACATAACCATATTTTGGACCTCACTGTGATCGCAAGGCCACAATATGGATCACTTTGTGGTGGTTCACAATTGGATTCTGTGCACGGTTTCTAGACCATAATGTTTGATTTTTTTTTGATTAATTAAGAGGGAAGAGAGGGCCCCTACCCATTTTTTCAAATAGTTTAGTAATTAGTTTTTTTTTAAAGATGTCAATGAAGTGGTGTAAGTAAGAATGAATGAAAACCACAATATAATGACTAGAGTATGGGGTTACTACCATCACGATCCCAACCCCTTTCCCCATAATGTCTAATTGCAATACACAGTGAACCAAAAGGATGGACCGATAAAACATATGCATAACACTGTTTGAACTAAAATTCTGTAGTATGGTCTCTTTTTTAAGCATGAGTTGGGACACGTGGCAGTTAGCCATGCGGCATCACGGAGGTGACACTTACTCCCTCCAAGGCTCTATTTAAATGTGCTCCATCAAATTGGCCGTATTATTATGTGAGTGTACTCGATTGATCTCGGTATTCGGAGCTCTTAAAGTTTGAAGACTTCAATAAAAGCGATATCATATTGTACCTAGGGCAGTGACAGAGAGAGTGAGAGTGTGAGTGCGAGTGTGAGTGTGTTAATCTATGTTTATGTTTTTGGTACTGTGTGCAGGGATTTTCGGATAGCTTCATATTTTGTGGTGATGACATTCATGAAAAGCATCAACAAATTGCGAGCTCAGTTTCTCCAGTTGTGGCTATGGCCCTCGGCAAGAAACTACTCGAAGCTGTCCAAGCCAAACGCAAACAATCTTCATCTTGAAGTTTTATATTTTCTCTCTCTCTCTCTCTCTCTCTCTGTAGCACGTGATCTCTTGTATTTGTGAAAATATTTTGTATAAATCATTCAATCTCGGCATGAAAGTGCATCAGTCTTTCTCATCATGTTCACCACAGGAGTCTTTTGTGTTGGTTACAATTTAGAGAGAGAGAGAGAGTTTGTGGAGACCAATTACAAAGTATAAACGAGTAAGCAGAAACCAACTTTTTTTTTTTTTGGTAACTGAAAGGGGATCATGAGCCTTTACCCTCTTTTGATATAAACGAGTAAGCAGAAACCAACTTTTTTTTTTTTTGGTAACTGAAAGGGGATCATGAGCCTTTACCCTCTTTTGAAATCGTTAGTGATTTTTAATGCTTTAGGTTAAATTAAAAGCCTAGATTTTAGTTGGGGCATAAATAGTGCTACCACCACAACTCCAACCCCATTCTCGAAACCTATTTTTTGAGAGAGAGAACAAATACAAACCAACCTCTTTTTTGGATGAATACTAGTGTATATTATGTATAAACCCAAAATAATTACTTAAAATATAAAATGATCTAATTATAGGTGAAAAGTACAAAGATGGTCAATTAAAAAGGTTTTTTTTTTTTTTCAAAATTGCGCGTGATCCAAAGATGGGGATCTCAAAATGTTGTTTTTCTCAAAAAATGAGAAAAAAAAAGTATGGGGACCTTGTAAGGCCTACTCAATCCAAAGAGCAGCACGGGGTCGTTGCCCCTAACACATGGGACACTGCCTTACTAATAAATAAAAATTAAAATGCAGTCCGATAATGGCATCCTCGGATTAAAAAAACAATTATAGAGAAAATAAAAAATACGCGTCAAACCAACCTTCCATATAATTTTTACCCAAAGACCCATTTTGTATTTTAGATAAAGTTTTGCGATCCATACATACATCACTCTAAAGAGAAGCCAACCTTGGGAGAGACGTTTCTTCTTGTGGGAAGAGAAAGGGAGACAAACGTGTTAAGAGAACTACTATTTTGTTTTTGTTTTTGTTAAATGAATTGCTCAGATTAGTTATGATATTACCCTTTTGACATTTATTGTCAAAGGAAGGGATGGAGAGCATGAGAGAAAAGAAGAAAATCAAGAGATACGGAAAGTAGAAAGCATGGTAAACCCAAGTACCTATGAATGTTCATGTGAATCTTTCATGGTTTGAAGTTATCCTCATGTCTTTTTTGGAATGAGAGAGTGATCTCTCTCTCTCTATCTCAAGGTAACTAAACAGCACACACAACATTATATACCACATGGACTAACCAATTCATTTTTTAATTTTTATTTATTTAACTCTAACTTCTCTTTCAGTTTTCATTTGAAAATAAAAAAGTCCAATTCTGGATTTTGGAGAAAAATGGATTTTTTATTTGTTAAATAAAACATTGAAGCTCAATGAAAAATTCAGTTTCTAGATTTTGGAAATTCTACTTGCTTATTATTTATCAAGCAAAAGGAAATTCGAATTTCTTATTGGTAGAAGTAATAATATAACAACATAATAATGAATTAATGAGTAATTGCGCGTATCTTCGTAAAGTTTTGTTATTTAAAAAATATCCAAATTTCTCAAGTTATTACACCTATACCTAATTTTTGCTCATTTTAGAAAAAGAGAAATGATGTTATAGGACCCTTCCCCACCCATATATGTAGGACCTCAAAAGAGCACAATTGAATTTGTACGGATCTCTAAAATAGTAAATCCCATACCCATGCAATAACTTTTATATAAATTCATATCAAATTTTATAGTGATCCTTTGAGGTCCTATACACATGGGTGGAGGAGGGTCCTATAAGATCATTACTATTGAAAAAATGATGACATAGCTCATTCTTTTGATCTTGAAGATATCAAGTTTATCCTATTTGTAATAAAGGGCTGATACCTTTTCTTTTGGTGATTATAATGCTTACAAATACTTCAAATCTGAGACCTTTTCTTTTGGTGATTATAATGCTTACAAATACTTCAAATCATGAAAATATAAAATTCTCTATTTTCCTACTAAAAAAATCTGAACTTCTCTCACGCCTTCAGCAAGAGTGCACAAGTTCTCTCCAGGCTTGTTGGGCGCTAGAGAGAACTTTGGATTTTGAAAATCCGAAGTTCATACTGCACACCTGGAAGCCATCACATAACTTTGGATTTTGACAATACAAAGTAAAGGGAATTTGAAGAGAACAAAAAAAGAAGAAGACAATATATCGTTAAAACCGTTATTTGAACAGCATTTGAGTTAGCAACTGTTTCTACTCCCCCGCCTCCTTCCCAAAATAATAAAAAACCCCCACCTTCTCTCTCTGTTACACAGGCTATAGAATCTTGTTCTTTCTCTCCATCTCTATGGTTTTCTCTTTCTATGGTTTCTCTGTAATTACGCTTCCTTAACTCTGTTCCATCCATGGAGGACTCATCCAATGCCTCAAGAAACAAAAGGAAAAGACTTGCAGACCTACAAAGCAGTGGCGATGAATCTTTACCTGACACAAGAACGCCCAGAAGAAGTGTTTCTTTGACTGATTCAGAGCCCACCATGACTCCTGCTGCTGGTTCACGAGAGACTTCGGAAAAAACTCTGGGTTCATTATCTGGTTTGGAAGAGATCACGAGTCTAGTTCATGCTTCTCGCTCTGCATCAGAAGAAGTACACGAATCCAGGGAGGTTTCAGAAGAGAGGGAAAACCCAATCGCAGTTTCTTTCTCTAGTTCACTGGAGCCATCTCAGCCTGTGGAAGAAGAGAGACAAGCACCCATTGTGAATTCTGGAGCCATGTCATCCTCTCATATGGACCAAAAAAGGGAACATGTACCAATGGAGATTACTCCCCTGAATTCCAATGAAATGGGGGCTTCTTTATCAGGTATGAAACCCGAATTCAAATTGGTTATGGCTTCCTACTTCAATCAAGAAAATAATTCCAAACTCCTTAAACATTCTTGCTCGATATATGTATCATGCTTCCTCAAGGTGAATCAGTAGAGGTTTCTCTCTCTCTTATTCAGAGAAGAAATCAGAATCAAATGAGGTTTTCTCTCTCTGGTTTGGGAATGAAATCCCCACCAATATCTGTTTCTTTCTCCAAGGAAGGAGAGAAAGCCTCATCCACTGTCATTTCTTTCTTGATGCAGAACATATTGAGGCTTTATCCACTGGTCATGAAGAGCCCGGTTCAATGGAGAATCCCGACCTCACTAATCAAGAAGGACAACATTCACAAGAAAAACCAGAAGAGGCAGAAGCGGGAGGTGGAGAAGTAGAAGAAATACCACAAATGGCAGAAGTAGGAGGAGAAAGAGAAGTGGAGGAAGGAGAAGAAGTAGTAAGTGGAGGATCACACGCTCATGCAACAACAAACGACTCAGACATCGAGGTCATCGTGAAAATAAATGATGAGAGAGATGTGGTCGAACTGACCCAAATTGGTGCAAATAAGATGGGTCGAGCCTATAGAAGGCTTGTGAGTTTTTCCATTACAAATGCAGCGGCACACAGGGTTCGCTTTGATGACAGAAGCTCTGGAAGCCTCTTCATCTCAGGTGTGGTTCTTCCTTTTAATGGCCCCGTATCAAATCTTAGGTTTTATTGTGCGTCTTTCGGGCCAATTCGTTCGTGGTGTATAACAGGCTTTCATGAAGGGACCCTGGAAATTTGGGTCTCGACTGATATCGCTGACTACCTTTGTGTAAATGCTGCAACAGAGTACCAGAGTCTCTATAGGTTTTTTTATAATAAGGCCATACTATGCATTAAAGCCGCTCATGAGCTCGACGAGGATCCCGACTTGGAGATGGACACACTTTCAAATTGTCTCACCACTTCGTTTCATGGAGAGCTTGGTCGCTTTGGCTATGATGCAGTAGTGATTATGGTGAAGCGCCATCTGCCATTTATTGCCGATCAGCTGGTTGGGCTTGATCGAAGGTTCTCTGATTTTCAGGCAATAGAAAAAATCAGTGAGGAGTTTAAGGATCAGGTAAAGAAGTATGAAATGCTTAGGCAAATGAACATGATGGATGGATGGAAATTGTCTGGTTCTTTCTACTCGATCCAAGATTATAACAAGGAGAACTATGGGGAGTGCTCGAAAAGTAGTCATGAAAGATCCATGACTGAGGCTTCCTCCCCATCCACTCCTTCCAGTTGTAAAAAGAACGGTTCCCTCAAAAGTATTGAGACATATGAGAGGAATCTCGATGTGAATAGGAAGGCACTCATGGATCCTCGGGACATAGGAGGAAAAATGGAGTCAAAAGCAGTTAGCATGACCCGAACCGGAGATAGTGAGGCCAAGCGATCCCTTCGAACACTCAGGGGATTCGAGATTTTGGATGGGAGAGAAGCTATGCAACAAATTGAAGACTCAGAGTCCGATGAATTCTACATTACCTCTGAGATTTGGCCATTCAATGTAGCCAATTCAAACCAAGTGGTACGATGTGAGATGTTTGGGGAGATCACCTCCTGGTGCATTACAGGTTACAATGAGGGTTACTCTTTTATTTGGGTCTCAACTCGAGTTGCAGATTACCTTTGCGAAGAGCCCAATGAAGGTTACTCACCTTTCTTTAAGGTCTTATACGAAAAGGCAATGCTCTGTATTCTAGCCTTTCACATTTTAAATAACGCACCATATATGCAATATGATGAGTTTTTGCTAAAACTGGTTTTAGATCTAATGGACTGCTTGGGCACCTTCAAAGATGAAGAAGCCACTCGATACTATGTAAATTCTCAGTTGGGCTTCGTGGCCGAGCAGTTAATTGGACTTGATACAAGGTTCTTCTCAAAATTGCCAGTCATAAAGATCATTATAGATAAGTTCAATGTGAATATTGGAGAGGCATGTCATTCATTTTTCTCGATTGATGAAAAGAACAAAGGGAGAGAGGGAATGAGAAATCTAGTGATTCATGCAGAAGAGAAGCCTAGGCCAAGAGAGCTCGACGTGAATGGAAGGAAATTTTCCGATGCTTTTTATTCGATCCATGACTGCAATGAAG